TCGCCGAGGTCACTCATGCGCATCCTTGACATATCGTATCTGGAACATGTCCATTAATTATTGGTATGAATTTCAACCCAATAACATGTATCAATTTTGAGAAATCGCAAAAAAACTGAAGACGCGTTTTGCTCACTGGAGCGTGAAAGCGTGGTCAGTCTTGCATAAAATTTGCATTTTATTGCTAGCTGAGAACTTCTGCACATTTGAGGTGAATTTCAAGTTTGTAGGACCAATTTGAAACAAAAATAAAAAAAATAAATAAATAATAATAATAACTAGAGCTGCGTGCAGCTTTAACAGGCTTCCCGCGTAAAAAAAAACTGAAGACGTGTTCTGCTCACTGGAGCGTGAAAGCGTGGTCAGTCATGCATAAAATTTGCAATTTACGATGGGGGACTTATTATCTGCATGTGATGTAAATTTCAAGTCTGTAAAAAGTGTCGTTCTCGAGAAGAAGATGAAAATGTAAAATCCTATATTGCTCACTGGAGCGTATCGCCGCGGTCACTCATGCGTATCCTTGACATATCGTATCCGGAACATGTCCATTAATCATTGTTATGAATTTCAACCCAATAGAATGTATCAATTTTGAGAAATCGCAAAAAAACTGAAGACGCGTTTTGCTCACTGGAGCGTGAAAGCGTGGTTAGTCATGCATAAAATTTGCAATTTATGATGGGGGACTTATTACCTGAATGTGATGTAAATTTCAATTCTCTAAGTAGTGTCGTTCTCGAGAAGAAGAGGAAAATGTAAAATCCTATATTGCTCACTGGAGCGTATCGCCGAGGTCACTCATGCGTATCCTTGACATATCGTATCCGGAACATGTCCATTAATCAGTGTTATGAATTTCAACCCAATAACATGTATCAATTTTGAGAAATCGCAAAAAAACTGAAGACGCGTTTTGCTCACTGGAGCGTGAAAGCGTGGTCAGTCATGCATAAAATTTGCATTTTATTGCTAGCTGAGAACTTCTGCACATTTGAGGTGAATTTCAAGTTTGTAGGACCAATTTGAAAAAAAAATAATAAAAATAAATAAATAACTAGAGCTGCGTGCAGCTTTAACGGGCTTCCCGCGTAAAAAAAACTGAAGACGCGTTTTGCTCACTGGAGCGTGAAAGCGTGGTCAGTCATGCATAAAATTTGCATTTTATTGCTAGCTGAGAACTTCTGTACATTTGAGGTGAATTTAAAGTTTGTAGGACCAATTTGAAAAAAAAATAATAAAAATAAATAACAATAATAAAACACAGGAATACAATAGGTTCCCTGCTGATAAGCAGCGGGAAGCCTAATAATAATAACTAGAGCTGCGTGCAGCTTTAACAGGCTTCCCGTGTAAAAAAAAAAACTGAAGACGCGTTTTGCTCACTGGAGCGTGAAAGCGTGGTTAGTCATGCATAAAATTTGCAATTTATGATGGGGGACTTATCATCTGCATGTGATGTAAATTTCAAGTCTCTAAGTAGTGTCGTTCTCGAGAAGAAGATTTAAAATGTAAAATCCTATATTGCTCACTGGAGCGTATCGCCGAAGTCACTCATGCGTATCCTTGACATATCGTATCCGGAACATGTCCATTAATCATTGTTATGAATTTCAACCCAATAGCATGTATCAATTTTGAGAAATCGTAAAAAAACTGAAGACGCGTTTTGCTCACTGGAGCGTGAAGGCGTGGTCAGTCATGCATAAAATTTGCAATTTATGATGAGGGAATTATTATCTGCATGTGATGTAAATTTCAAGTCTGTAAGTAGTGTCGTTCTCGAGGAGAGATGAAAATGTAAAATCCTATATTGCTCACTGGAGCGTATCATCGAGGTTACTCATGCGTATCCTTGACATATCGTATCCGGAACATGTCCATTAATCATTGTTATGAATTTCAACCCAATAGCATGCATCAATTTTGAGAAATCGCATAAAAACTGAAGACGCGTTTTGCTCACTGGAGCGTGAAAGCGTGGTCAGTCATGCGTAAAATTTGCAATTTATGATGGGGAACTTATTATCTGAATGTGATGTAAATTTCAAGTCTCTAAGTAGTGTCGTTCTCGAGAAGAAGATGAAAATGTAAAATCCTATATTGCTCACTGGAGCGTATCGCCGAGGTCACTCATGCGTATCCTTGACATATTGTATCCGGAACATGTCCATTAATCATTGTTATGAATTTCAACCCAATACCAGGTATCAATTTTGAGAAATCGCAAAAAAACTGAAGACGCGTTTTGCTCACTGGAGCCTGAAAGCGTGGTCATTCATGCATAAAATTTGCATTTTATTGCTAGCTGAGAACTTCTGCACATTTGAGGTGAATTTCAAGTTTGTAGGACCAATTTAAAAAAAAAAATAATAATAATAATAAATAACGAGAATATCGGTTGGAAACCGAAGACTTATCGATCGATAGTTAGGGGATCCCCCAAAACAGAAACTGCAGTTTTGATTCATCCGCTCTTGTAACTTGCGCACTGCGCATCGCACACACACACTCGGCGGGTTTCAAAATTCTCTCGCTTTACAAAAATCTAGATCACTATATCAATAATTGATTGATAACTCGCTAATTATACGACATAATTCGCCCAAAATCAATAGGCTTCTTTCTGGTCCGAGATAAGATGAATGCACATGCAAAATCTGGAGCAGATTCAATCTCGCTTTCGTGAGATATCGCGTGCATCTAACAGACACACACACAGACACACAGACATAAAGACAAATACCTATCAATATACTTACCGATCTTAAGATCGATAAGTAATAACTAGAGCTGCGTGCAGCTTTAACAGGCTTCCCGCGTAAAAAAAACTGAAGACGCGTTTTGCTCACTGGAGCGTGAAAGCGTGGTCAGTCATGCATAAAATTTGCAATTTATGATGGGGGACTTATTATCTGCATGTGATATAAATTTCAAGTCTCTAAGTAGTGTCGTTCTCGAGAAGAAGATGAAAATGTAAAATCCTATATTGCTCACTGGAGCGTATCGCCGAGGTCACTCATACGTATCCTTGACATATTGTATCCGGAACATGTCCATTAATCATTGTTATGAATTTCAACCCAATACCAGGTATCAATTTTGAGAAATCGCAAAAAAACTGAAGACGCGTTTTGCTCACTGGAGCCTGAAAGCGTGGTAATTCATGCATAAAATTTGCATTTTATTGCTAGCTGAGAACTTTGCAATTTGCAAAAAAAAATAATAAAAATAAATAATAATTTTAATAATAATAAAACACAGGAATACAATAGGTTCCCTGCTGACAAGCAGCGGGAAGCCTAATAATAAATAAATAATAATAATAAAACACAGGAATACAATAGGTTCCCTGCTGACAAGCAGCGGGAAGCCTAATAAAACACAGGAATACAATAGGTTCCCTGCTGACAAGCAGCGGGAAGCCTAATAAATAATAATAATAATAAAACACAGGAATACAATAGGTTCCCTGCTGACAAGCAGCGGGAAGCCTAATAAAACACAGGAATACAATAGGTTCCCTGCTGACAAGCAGCGGGAAGCCTAAATAATACAAGCGACAGCGCCATCATGGGGTTCAACTGTGCGTTCATGGACAGTAACACGAAGTTTGTTCGGTGTCTGATTACCGGGTGCTCGCGTTGATTGTTTCGTGACTCGGGGGGTACTTGACAAAAAAAAGGTTGATTAATATTGTTTGCCAAGCCTTGCAACAACATTGATAGCAGTCTTGAAACTCTTCCAAGTTTCACTTCGGTAGCAATCAAAGGTTGTGATTCTAAAGTGGATTATTTGTGAATATATTAAACAACGCTTAATACTCTACTTCTTGGCTGAGAAAATAAGAATACTTTATGATTCTACCTATAAAGATGGATTTATGTGTATCACCGTGTTCGAGAGAAATAATCTTACATTCTTTTTCTAAACTAGACCTTTCATTCAAACGAAAGCGCTATACCTCCTTAACTTCTCATAAAACAGTTTCATCAATTACATTCCAGACTTGAGTGACGTTGTAAGACGTGTCTTACAATTTTCTGGAGATGTAAGCCTAATATGCATGCACATAAGACGATTGGTCGTGTGGCCAAATGTACACGTCTTATCATTTCGTCCATGCAGAAATGGCTTTCTTCTGTTTTTTTAAATAAAGATTCTAGCTCAATTAAAAACTATTACGTGCTTTTCAATTATGTCATATTCAGAACTCATTCTTGTTCGGTAATCCCATTTTATTTTTCACTCGTGGAAGAGATTGGCGCGTTATAACAATTTCAATAAACCCTGCCCCAAAATAATTCTATCAGCACTTTTGTTGTTTAGGTTCATTTTAATTACAAGTCATGTTACTTTTCAGTCTTCTGAATTAAGAAACAATAATGCTTGAGCATAAAACAGCTTGTTACTTTTCTTCCTGCAAGACTGCAATGTCATATATAATCTTGAATTAATCTTGTATAATATTTATTGACACAATCTGTTTATACGAAGAAAAGAACATCGGAGTTAATAAATAACTTCATGCATCAAACATTATTCGATCATTGAAATTGTCTGCCTTTTCTAAAAAAAGATTAATTAAATCAAATACACGCCAAACTATAAAACATCTATTAAGCAATATATTTCATTATTGTGATTTTTTTCTCAGATATGTTATTAACTAAGAAACACGAAAATATGTATTGTAGGCTACAGTGCGTGATAAATAAGTAAATGTTCAAAGTCAAAAATTCTATTTCAGCCCTGTCAAATATTAACTACGTTTATTGTAAGGTTTCTTAATAATTTAGTCAGATGTTTCGTTAAGTTAACGATGATTGTACCTATATTGGGTTATTTCGATAAATCGAGTTCTGCAGCTAAATATAGTTGGCAAAAAGGGCCAAATTAACGTTTCAGTAGTTAACCGTCAATTATTTAACATTTCATCTCATTTTTAGTTTAGAATTGCTGTACTGGAACCATATATTAAAGGTTTATATAAAGTTTACCTTGGAATTCATGCTGTTTATCCGGACCTTCACCTTCAGGCCTAAAGGCTCCCACTAAAAATATTAATTCACGCAAGATAAATTAGACCGCTAGGTAATTGGTATTCGATTCATATGATTCTTTCTCCTACTTTGGGCGGGAGTTCAAATGTTTCAAACAAACTTTCTTCTGTTTCAACAACTTCTTTAGCATTTATAGCCATGTATTTTCAGACTCAGTTTTACTGAAATTTATATTGATACCAAATATCAAGCAAATATCTTGCAAGGCTGCTGAATTTATCGTTAAATTATGCCGTTAGAGGATTTTGCACCAATTCCGTTCGACTATATAACTTTGTTTATAATAAACTTCAAATCTAAATAAGTACTCACGGACACCAGGAATGAATGTTGCACTCATTGCAATCATTATAACGATCATGTAGATCATTCTAACAATTGATGAAACAGGAAAGTTCATTTTGATAATTCGGTTTTACGAGTTGGAAAATGCTGAACCTAAAAATGAAGTAGTAAAGTAAATGAAAATGTATAAAATTTCAACAGATTTTAGAAGTTAATTTTAAAATGATTGTATACGGAATGATTTTCATTCATCAATAGGAAAAATTAAATTATTTTTTTTTCTTTTATTTGATAGTCATTTCTCCTCCGTCAAAAATGAAGTCAATAAATTCATGTCTTGAAATAAGTTTAGGGAAAGGTATAAATCAAAGTGTAATCAAGCTTTGTCGTCTTGTAATTGTTTTGTTATACGACAAGATTCAATAATGTACAACTTACCTTCGAAAAGTGTAAATTCTTCAGATCTCTCTGACTGACGGCTTTAAAACCGAAAAAGTTCTCCAAGTTGTCGTTCACGCAAAGAAAAATTTCAATGGAGCTTCCAATTTCACAATGCATCTGAATTATATATACCCACCTGCTTCCTGATACATATTCAATGAAACAAAACTGATCGATTTTAATAGAATTTCTCTGTCATTGAGACAATGTTCACCTCATAAAAACATACCAGGATGTTTGTCAGCGCCAAATAAATGCCGTACTTTTATTTGAAAGCTTTGGATAAGTCTGAATAACAGTCTACCATCAGATTACTCATCTCTTTAAGAGTTCGTAGTTACCATTGAACCTCATAATTTTATGAAGCGTTGGAACCAACTCGTTGGTTTTTTCGAATCGAGATCGAGGATGGCCCACACTTTTTCATCATGTATAATCCATGGCTGATGTGAAGTTTTGAGAATAGCGGGCTTTAGCCCGTACCTCGACACCTCATACATTTAAATAAACTAAGATTGATTTTATTTATTGCCATCTATACTTCAGTGTCGGAGGCGATTTGCCCCAGTAAGTTTCCCCTACCTGGCGAACCTTTTTCAATGAATGGGTCAAAAATTATATTTTTATCGCGGAACAGAAGAGAGTGGGTCACAGATATATGATCAATGTTTGTATCTATAAGAAACTTCTGAAACAATTCTTTTAGGCTTCTGTTGGTGTAATAGTTTCAGGCTTTACTTATGCAGCACTTCTATCAGGGACTTGATTCAGGCACTCGATTTTATGAAATTAGAGTACGAAAACACGCATATGAATTACCATAAACGTTTAGGATGATGCGGTAAATTATTTTACGGTTCCAAAGACTTTGGAGGGAATCCCACCTGACAGTGTTGTATTTTTCAATCGACTTTCAACCTCATTAAGGCACTTTTACACTCCCCCATTGTTATCTCAGATTTCCAGGCTTTTATTTCGAGTTTGAAAGATTTTGTTCTCTTAGCGGTATTGTGGGCGAGAAACTAATAAAATACAAAGTAGCATCTAATTCTCGCATAACCCCTAAAACAGTCTGCAGATGAACTTCCGAAAGAGACCCGACGTAGCGACAAATTAACATATCAGTTGCATTGTTATGTCCTAAACGATGTCAGAGCCAATAGCTGAATAATGGTTCACAGCGGTGCAGACATGCGTCCAAGATTAAGGGTTTTGAAAATTACCATACCGGCCCGAAATTAACAATTTGAATATGAGCCCTCGCGGCCCGGACTGCCCAACTGACGGTAGATTCAGTGGCGTATCGAGGGTGTGGCAGCCATGGCTTGTGCCATGGGCGCTGTTTAGACAGGGCGGAAAAACGGCAAAAAGTTTTAATCGCAATATGTTTCAATAGAATTATTTCAAATTGAAGACGACTGAAACTCGCATTTTTACTTGAAAAATATCGTACAGGTACAGTATACCATTTCAATAACAGTCATTATAAATCGTTAACCAACTATCGAGGGGTGCATTTTTAAACTTTGCCATGGGCGCCATGTTACGTAGATACGCCACTGGGTAGATTATAATAGTTTAGGTATTGTTAGATTAATTTAAGGCCGGTTTTATCAATTTTTATCACTGATATGTTAGCATTTTTTTTATTATTTTATTCGTGCCTTGGCGGGTCACGAATAAAACGCGGTGGGTCACTTTGTGACCCGCGGGTCAGTGGTTCGCCATCCATGCCCTATATGGTGAAAAGGGGGAGGTCTCCATACGTTTTAAGCATGTATGTACATATGCACAACAAAACAATTCGAATAGTTTCTCAAATGAAAAAAATAATGAAAAGCGCACACACTTGCAATGCTCAATATATAAAAGGCAAGACAGAATTCAAATTATAAATTTACTCATACTAAATCTTCAATCAACTTCCTATTTGAAAAAACCTTCATGCCGGTCCAGCATTATGGAGAGATTAATGGACACGAATTGGACCCATGGATTGCTTTGATCTATTCTTGTTGTTGTTATCCGTGTCGTAAAATGTATTACTTCTGCAGCAAATATTAGGTCAATTGATTTCACAATTTCAGTACTCGAAGATAGGAAGTAGCCAGAAAAAAATTACATCATCGTTTACTTTAAAATTTCCTCTGATCCTAGAGGACCGAATATTTCAACAAAATTTTTGCTCCTGTTTTTTGAATATAATGAAAAACATTTTTGTTTTTTAAAGGGCTCTCGTCGATAGTAATTTCATGCTTCCGGATAAATCAACAAGAGCCATAAACATATGTATTTAATTATGGGTCATATATATCGTGAACAGGCTGCGTGAATTTCAATTTGGTGCAAGCATGGGCAATACTAACACATACTACGGCTGGTACATTGTATGAATGTACAATATTTCAAAATGCGATTGTGAGAATTCATATCGGATAGATATTTTCTGTCTCTTGCGTGATCTTGAAAGACAACACAAATGTAAAAACGTGAAGCATACTAGACAAAATGAAGCGATTTCGTGTTCAAAATTGAAGAATTGCTTCCGATGCAGTGAACAAAATAAAAAAATTTGAAGGCTGAGTAGCTTTCACATGCCCAAATTATTGTAGGATTAAATACGATAGAATTAGAAAAGTCCGATATTCGGTGCTGGGTAAATCATCCCTTTGTTTGGTGTTGTACTAGAGATAAATTACATTTGCTAATCAAATATTTGATTTATCAGTTCAATTGGTTTGCAGCATAAAATGTGTAGTTGAGTTTCGACTTATATATACCATAGAATTTAGTCAAAGAATGAACTAAAATGAACGCTTTATACAAACTCATCAGCCATCTCACCGAAAGTGCGGCTTTAGCTGTTATGTGGCCCATAGTTAAACCTGACAGTGACATTCATTTTTGTATGTTGATTTCAGAGCAGATTGTCTGAACGTGAGGTGGCAGCATGAACGATAAGAATATATGTCTTCGTGTGATCTTTCTTCTGAGCCATGTAATAATCCCGACAGTTTGCAATCCAACATAGCTCATTGCAAATTAAAGTAGATTTTATTTTATTCAAAGACTCAAAATAATGCCAGTTATCCAATCTAAATGACCCGAACGAGAACAAAGATTTGCTTTGCTGGCCAGAGTTTTTTGTTATTTCCCATCACTTCATCGATATATGTAATATTTCATTTTCTACATGCTGGCTCATTCATTTGACACACTGTTTCAATGATACTAAGCAGATATTTACATCATTGTGTTAGTGCCTGATACAGCAATCCAATTGAGACACAAAACATGGTGATTTTTCCGTAGACATCACACTTTTCATAGTTCAAATCCAACAAAGTTTTGCTTTAATATGCATTTTTGCGATTGATGGTCTAGTGGGGCATAAAATTAAGTTTGCAATATAACCGCAGCAGGTTTTGCGTCTCTGTTGCCTCCCTGGTAAAAAGCCTAAAATTTTAACAGCGGAAAATGTTTGGATGTGCATGAACGCAGATACAAAAGTATATTGGTGCAAATATATTGAATATCAAATTTCCCGCGTTAACATTAGCGATGAAAACGGAATGAAGGTCATGTCAATCTCTGTTTGTATTTTATGAACATTTGTCAGGTGATATTTCATCGAACTGGAATATCATATATTCAATGTCAAGTTTTTTACAATACAGAATGAGTGTCGTTCAAAATAGAAAAACACGTGACTTGACAATACCTCTCTTCTCGCAAGGGGCGGGCATGGCTCAGAGTTAACGAGGAAGTAGATGACGCGAACTTGATTCCTCAGCGCAAAAAATACCTTCAACATTCGAACACTAACTAACTGATCTTTTGAAACATTCTAGATCAGACCAAAGTAATATATATATCGGAAATATCGGTATATTTTAGCCGATACCAATACAATTACCGATTTTGAAAAAATTGATGATATTACAGATACCAATACCCGATACCGATACACCGGTACAACTCTTTCGTGTCTCAAACCTTCAAGAGATCTTTTGTGAATGAGATTAGAAAGATTTCACAATTGCGTTTTAGAGAGATTCAATGTGTTCGTTATGCTAACATTTTACGACGTTTAGTGAATGGATTTCAAACCGACCAAGATCGGTGAAGACTTTCAGGGGACGCGTGTCTACATAGAATTAATCCGTCGACTAGAATTTACAAGTTATTGGCGAGGATTGTGCATGGAAACATAGAACAACAAATTGTATTAATCTCAATATGAATGATTTTCCACATCGGAATAATAAGATATTTATAGTTATTTCAAAAATCCTATTTCATTTAATAAATCAAAAGCATAGATGACAAACATTCAACATTTTTTTATGAAATGGATATTTTAAAAGATTTGAAATTTACGCACACGAAACTGAATTTATATTCAAAGTAAAACCCTAAAATTTTGCCATGCTCAATTATATGTGTGGCCCATCGTTGATCTTTACTTCATATTTATTTATTTTTTTTTATTCTTGAGCATGAAACCGAAAAATGCATAAACGTGAAGTGCGTACACATAATACAACAAGGAGACAACAACGTTGCAGAGGAGCGCCTAATACGTTAAAAAATCAGAAAATTTTATTGACCGCTGAGTAACTTCAGATTCTGAGTTTTACTGTTTAAATTACAATAAGTTGCAATGGCAATTCATTCATTACTTCTCGGATACTTGTTTGGGTTGATTGCGTGTGTGCACGATTCTTAGTTGGAATTCTGTAAATTGGCGGTTCGACAATAAGTGAATTCGATATTTTCTTGTTTGAATGATATATTTACAACATCTGTTTATAATTTCAGTCAACACAAGACGACGCACAATTAAAATAAACGACTGGAATGATCCGTCAAACATTTCTTGATCACGGAAGTTGTCTGTATTTTCTGAAATGAAATTAATTGTATAAATCGGATGCTTGGAAAACTGTTGACTTCTCTGAATCAATTTCCCAGCCAAAGAAATCCCAATTACAGAATTTGTAACAGTTTATATACAACGTAAATTGTTCTATCTATATAATAATTGCA